AGAGACACCTGCTAGATGCAGGAAAAAAGTAACAGATACAATCCTTCCTGAAATACTTTTTGATATGTCTTTTCATTAAATAAAAGGGGATAATTTTTTTGCAAAACTAGGTTGGGCAATCTACTTCTGTAGTGATACCGCCTCGGAAACCCAAGGAGGGGTCGCTATGAGTCAGGTTCGACTCGACGGCACATAACAACAACAAAGTCCACAGCTGCACCTGTGACCTAAAGGCCAGTTTGATCTAATTTAATGGATGTTGCCCAGCCTAAGTGGACCCAAATGACTTTCTTTATGGTCCTGAGATCATTTCTGTCCTGTCTCTTTTTCTTACTTAATATTAGGTTCCCCAATGTTTTAACATTTCCATGGATATGGCTCGGTAATAGGGTTACCTATTACCTAGGCAAGAGGAATAAACGGAGTCTTGTCTTACAATCAAGCAATCTATTACCAGCTTACCTTTTACACCCAGGTCCACCCCAACTTAACAGAACAGACAAGCATACAAAACTTGGACTAGAGAAATATGTAAAACAGTATTTCTCAAATGGTTACTTTTAGGAAAACAAAGAGGAATGGAAACTTCTACCATATTCCAAACATGTTAATGGCCCCTTAGAGTAACTACAACTCAAATAGGCTACATTTCCAGGGCACTTTAGAGAAACATTTAACACCATCTCAAACTACAAGGAATGCTTATTTGCTGAAATGGGAAGCAGTTCTGTCTCTACCTGCCCATGAAAAGAAAGGTCCCAAGTCTGAATACCTCACAAGTATCCCTTCTAAGTTCCAGTTTTTTTATCTGGAGTATTTGGCTTCTCCAGACAAATTGAAAATGAAAGGGTAAGAACCTAAATCTTATTTTTAAATATATAAACAGTACTTGTGGTTCCAGTTTCAGCTGCTAGTGAGTCGATTCTGACTCAAGGAAACCTCACACGTGTCAGAGTACACTGTGTTCCACAAGGTTTTCCAGGTCTGATTCTTCAGAAGCAGGTTATCAAGCCTTACTTCTAAGACACCTCTGGGTAACTGAAACCTCCAACCTTTTGGGTAGCAGGTGAGTGCATTAACAGTTTGCATCACTCAGGGACTCCCTGCTCGTGGTAAGCAACTCAATCATGCAAATTAACGCTGGGAAAAAGTATCATCTCCAGGTTAGGTGACTTTACATTTGCTTCATGGATAAATCTCCTTAAGTTCTGTTGGACTGTTGCTTAATGTACTCACTCTTCAGTTTACAGAGTAAGCTCTTCATATCCCAGAAGTTTTCTAAAACTGCGTACAGACTGTCTCCACCAAATCCTTTCAAAAAGTTTTATATAAACTTTGTTTTCTTTAATAAGGTCACAGCTTCATGGTAGCTATGGTACTCTCAGCCAAGGGTATATTTTTCCCCTCTTAAGCAAGAGCTCTGGTGGCACAGTGCCTAAGGCATTTGACTACTAACCAGAAGGATGGTGGTTCAAACCCACCAGCCACTCCTTAGAAGACTGGGCAACCTACTGACATAGAGATACTGCCTTGGAAACCCAAGGAGGGGATGCTATGAGTTGGAATCCGCTCAACAGCAGTGAGTTTCTTTTTTTTGGTGAGTTTGAGTGCTAACTACCTAGGATGGTTTCCCATCTGCTAGAAAAAAACAAAAAATATAATATGTGAAAGTGGGCCTCATATCCTGTGCTTCCATGCCCTCTCTTCATCATGGAAATCCTGGCCCACCACAAAGAGAGCTAAGCCCGAGGCTGGCCATTTCTAGCAGCCAATACCAGCTCCCATGGGCTAATCCTCATTGCAAGTGTCCCTAAACCTGCAGCAGCAGCATCCTCTGGGGACTTGTTAGAAACACACATTCTTGGGCCACCCCAATCTAGTGAATCAGAAAGGCTGGGCGTGGGGTTCAGCTCCCCAGGTGATTCTGATGCCTTCAAGTTTGAGAACTACTTGTTCCAGAGCTGGAGCTACCACAGTGTATTTGTGGACTTACCCTCAGAGCCTGCAGGTGGCACTGGAGGCCAGCTGGAAGAATTACAGGCTGAGGAAGCTCCAGTTTTAACTGTTACAGAACCTGCTAGACTGACCACAATTTTTGTGTTTTTTTTTTTTAATCAGTTCCTTAACAGCTGCTCAGCCTCCCCCTAAGAGTTAAAAGGCTACAGTGCATCTCAGCTTTAAACAGGAACTCAGCAGAACTTGTTCTCACAGCCCAGCAGCAGAAACACCAAACTGACAATTTTCAGGAATGCAATCAATACTTAAATCTTTTGAGGTTTTACTGTTTAACACAACGAAGATACAAACATCACAAAGAATGGTGTCAATACTCAGTAAAACAGAACAGAATTTAAAACTCAAATTACCCTCAGTGTTTTTTGTGTCCGAATATTAACATGCACTTGATTCTGAAACAGTGATTAGAGTTCTACCCTTAAAATCAAATCAAATTGCTTGTGACAGGAGTGAGAAGAATGACTCTCCTCTCCTCATATTAACCAAACCAAACTCACTCTGACTCACAGGGACCCCTCCTTGGGCTTCCGAGGCAGCATCACTACAAAAGTAGATTGCCCAACCTTCCTTCCAAGGAGTAGCTGGTGGGTTGAACTGCCAGCATTCTGGTTAGCAGTCAAGTGCCTGAGGCACTACACCACCAGAGCTTCCCTCCTCATGTAAAGTGAGTATAAAACTGGTCCTTCCTAGATTGAAGCCAAAACCTTGAACTTTACAATAACTATTTTACTATACAAACATCTCTAGTAAGGATTTGGAGGGACCAGAAGGCTGAGACACTGCCAGTGGGTATGTAAATTGGGGAACTGTGTCACAATGATTAAGCATTTGGCTGCTAACCTAGAGGTCGGGGGGTTCAAACGCACCAGCCACTACAGGGGAGAAAAGACCTGGCAATCAGCTCCTGTAAAGATTATAGCCTAGAAACTCTATGGGGCAGTGCTACTCTGTCACATGGGGTCCCTATGTGTCAGAATTGACTTGAGGGTCCAAAACAACAAACAACTAAAGCTAAACACATGAATACTTGAGACCCAATGTCTGAGATATCCAGTGCTACTAAAACATACAAACCACAAGTGGATGGCTTTAACAAAAAGAAATTTATTCTCTCACAGTTTAGGAAACTAGAAGTCCAAATTCAGGGCACCAATCTAGAGGAAGGCTTTCTCTTTCTGTTGGCTCTGGGGAGAGGGTCCTTGTCTTCTTTCAACATCTTTGGGCCCAGCATTCCTTGGCAATCTCTATGTGTCTTGGCATCAATCTTGAACTGAGTCTAGGAGGTTCTCAGCTCAGAGACCCCAGGTCCAAAGGATGCTCTACTCTCAGCACTTCTTTCCTTATGGTACTGAGGTCCCCACTTCTCTGCTGGCTTCTCTCTCCTTTTACCTCTTTTAGATAAAAGGTGATGCAGGCCCCACCCCAGGGAAACTCCTCTACCATTGGATCAAGGCTGTGATCTATGTTAGTGTGTTGCATCCCACCCTAATTGCCTTACAACTGATCAGCTGATCAGTTACATCATGAGGGATATCATTACATAAGTACCAAATTACTTCATTATGTAACTGCCAAACCACTAAGAATTATGGCCCCGTCAAGTTGACATATATTCACAATTCAATCAGTGACATCTAGCAATTCCACTCCCAGGTATAAACCCTAGAGAAATGAGTGCCTATGGCTATCAAAAGCCTCTTTAAAAAAATGTGTAATCCATAATAATTACAAACTGCAAACAATTCAGATGTCCATCTACAGCAGAGATAAATACTGTGGATATTTATCAATACAAATATCCAAAATATAAAACAAAAAACCACTGCTACATAGCTAGATAAATGTCATAGGCATAGTAAGCGAAAGAAGTCAGACACAAGGGGTACACACTGATAGAAACAGCCAAGGCTAATCCCCACAAGGGAAGTCAGCACAGAGGTTACTAGGGATATCTACAGAGGGGGCATGGGGAGCTCTAGCAAAATTCTACATCTCTACTTGAGATGGCTACAGGGTCGTATGCATAGGTAAAAGGTGACTGAATTGCACATTTAAGGATTGTACATTTTGTATGTACATTATACATCTTCATAAAGAGAAGAAAAAGTCAGACACACACAAACGAAAAATTCTTGCAGGCTGTCAATTTTCAATATTCACCATATATATCTAGATTGCTGGAAAACTACATCACCAGAGTATATTTACTGCAAAAACATCCTGTCATTTGCTAAGCTCAATCTCCAAATCAAATACAGCGAACAAGAGTTTTTCCTTCTTTCCAGTGTTACACCACCAAATGTAATATCCTAAAAATGGTCAAACCTTTTTATACCGTTTGCACTCCCTAGTGCCAAACTCCTTTTATTTAGCACTTAGGGATGCCTTCTCATTTGGTCACTGACAGTCCATCCTCCCATGAGGCAGAAAGGATAGGCCCGGCTCTTGTCTCACGTGTTTTTTGCCTGGCTGAATCGCTTTGATCTAACCCTTGTCCTAAATGCTACCAGGATCCAGCTTACCTTACTCCCAACTTAATTCCTCCCTCCTCTATACCTAAGGCCTGAGTGCAGGGGCGGTGCTAAAGCAGCGCAATCACACAGGGAGATTCCGGGCCTACCAGGTCAGTTGGCAGCTAAACCAACTGCCTAGTGGGGACAGGAAGTTAGACCCAAATCCAGAAACTTAGGCCTGCAAGCGCGCCCGAGACCCTGACCCTGCCTCGCCCTCCGCAGGCCAATCACTCTTGCCCACAGGATCCTGGAGGATCTGAGCTGGGGAAACATTCGACCCGTATCCTGCTTTTGGCTTTGATAACGGTTTCCGACTATAACTCCTGAACTGGATGAGTAGAAATGTGTCCCAGATAAATCCTATCTTGCAGAACCTCTGCCCCCAGCCCCCTGGCCGAGCTCGGAGGAGCCGTGGAGAGGGTCACAGCTCAGTGCGGAGGGGTGAGGGTAGAGGCGTGAAGGGCAGCGTACCCGAGGGAGGCGCGCCCGGCTGCCACAGGCGGGGCCCCTCTGGCTGCTCCGCGCGCTCTCCGCCGGACAGCGCGGTGCCCTGAGCCCGGGCTCGGTGCACCACCCCCACCCCCGCCTCAACGCGGCGGCCGTGTTTACCTGGAAGCAGGAACACGTACTGCCGGGCTTGATGCCCGTCCCCACAGTCCTCGCCGGCGGCCATGCTGCCCGCCGGCTTCCGGGACACAAGCACCACGCGGGTCCCGACTAAAAGGCAAGCCGAAAATGGCGGGAGAAGGGTCTATTCCGGGTAGCGCAGCGCGGCACGGGACTGGTAGAGTGAGGGAGGCGGCCTGCGGCACGTATTTTGTTTCGTTTCCGGGGCCAACAGACTGCTTGTGTTCAACACTTCCCCGCTGTCATTTTATATTTAGCGCCAGGCCGTGGGGACCGTAGTACCAGCGTATTGCGGGTTGGCAGGAGGAAGGGGCCGCGGCCTCTCCCCTCCGCTGCTCCGCGGATGGTAGGTGCTGGCGGCGCGCAGGGCGGCGACCCTGGGACGCAGCGGAGCCCGGCGCGGGCGGGGTCGCCTCGGCCCCAGGCGCGCCTGCGGGCGCTCGTGCACAGAGTTAAACAGCTCCGCCTTGGAGGTGTTTGCGGCAGCCGAGTGACTCCCTAGTGGGAGGGCGTCACGAGGGGTAAGGCAGGGATCCCAGGGTGTGGGGCCGAGGATCCTAATGATTCCCGCATTTCCCGAGGGGGAAAAGCCAGGAGCAAATCCTTGTTAGAATGGTAGTCACATGAATCCTAGTGTAACCCTGGTGTGGTAACTAATATCTCGGCGAATGTAACTTGGTCATCAGTCACATTCTGCGTTGGAAATGATGCTAGAGTATTGTGTGCATTGTGACTCATAAAATATGTGCAGTCTTCAAATTGGACTTAGTCGGCATCATGAAAAACAGGTGCACAATTTGGGGCTCAAAGTATGAATTGTTTATTATTTTGGAAAATTGTAATGACTTATAAATTAAAGAATTTTAAAAGTATTGTTTAAAACGTTACGGTCATGAAATGCTGAGATTTAAACTTTTTAAAAATTTTTTGAAATTTTAAAAGTAGTGCATGGTAAAATGGTTTGAAAAAGAAGAAAGCTTTATCTTTCCTACTTCAAAGAAAAATTTTTGTCTTTCTGCTACTTCAGATCCCCAACCCCACTCTTCAGGAACAATTACTGTAAACAGTAAATTGTACTGTAAACAGTTTTTTGTCTATTCTTCCAGAATTTTTCCCTGAAACTACAACCTCATGTGTCTTGTTTTTTGCATAAAGGGAAGAATAATATGCCAAACTCTTAAGCATTTTGCTTTCTTTGTTTTATCATGAAGATGGTTAAATTCGGAGAGATATTTAAGCCTTCTGAATAAGTATTTTAACTTCAATCCTATTTCTGAGGGAGTGAGTTGACTGCGGGGGCAGCAGATGGTAGTCAGTTCTGGGGCAGGCAGCAGATTGGTATTGCCTTGATCTGCCTGCTCTCCCTCAAGATTATACTGTCCAAAATCTCCTAGGCCAAATCCCCAGGCACATTATAATCATTACTAGCAGCTACAAGAGAAAAGTTACCCACGGTTCCCTTGCTCTGACATATATAGCTGTTTTCATTTTTCTCTGATTCTTTCCAGCCCTTGGTTGTATGACTGTGTATTTTTATGTGGCTGTTTTCACAACATAAAGACAATTTTGTCTGCTTTTTTCACTTAATGTCATAAACATGTTTCCCATGGCATTCAGAACTATCATTGTTAATAAATACATGTTATTTCACACTGTTAATGTACCACGGTTACTTAACCGTTCCCTAGTGTGCAATATTTAGGTTATTTCAAAATATTGTCATAAATAATGTTGCAATGTATAATGTATAAATAATGCAATGCAATGTATACTGCATATGGACTATGCAGCAGTTTGAAGCAGTGAACTAGATGTACATATAGCAACATGGATGCTTTATATTGCAAGAAAAAGTAAGACATAGGAAGAAATTTATAGCAGAATACCATGTACGTAAATTAAAAACACACACATAAAATAACACTACATATTTCACAAGGATACATGCATATTTAAGGCCATGTATGAAACTCCTAAAAAAAAAAAAAAAGTATTTTTAAAGTGAAGAAGAAAGGATAGGGGATGAGGTGCAGGGAAATTAAGAGAGTATCCGGGGCTTACATGAGTAAGTGTCACTATATCCTATGAAAGAGGGTATAATTAACTCCCTACCCCTTAGATTCAAGGACTTTTTTTTTTTAAGTGATACAACACTTGTACACCAATGTTCATTGAAGCGCTATTCACAATAGCCAAAATGTGAAAACAACCTAACTATCAACAGATAAATGGAATAAACAAAGTGTAGTATATCCATAGAAGGGAATATTTCTCATAAAGAAAAACGAAGTCCTGATGCATGCTACACCATGGATGAACCTTGAAAACATTACACTCATTTAAATTATTCAGTCACCAAAGGACAGATATCATATAATCCTCCTTATATGAAGTATCCAGAATAGGCAAGTGCATAGACACCTAAGTGTATTAGTGGTTGTGAGGGGTGGAAGGGAGAGGAGAGCTCAGGGGGCACTGAGTTTCTATTAATGGTCGTGGAATAATTTGGAAACAGCAGTGGTGGTTACACAACGTGATGGACGTAGTTTAAGTCACTGACTTTACAAGGGAAAAATGTTGATTTGGCAAATGTTTTGTTCTATATATTTTTACCACAATAAAACAATTTTTTTAAAAAAAAGTACTGCAACAAATATTCCTAAACAAATTCCTTTATCCTATTTTTTAAAAAGGTATTTAAGCATCTTCTTGAAAGGAGGGCTAGAATTTGCTATGGAGACTGACTCTAGATATTGTCTTCAGGATAAAGTCCAAAGTCCTGGTCTTTGAACACACAGCCCTTGGCAATCCGTCCTCTCTGGCCCCATCCAGCCACAGTTCCCACACCGTACTCCATCCCTGAGAGACTGCCTGTGGTTCATCTCTTGTTCCCATCCCGCATTTGGCATTGTGTTTCCAATGCCCAGACCACCCTGTTCTCCATTTATTGCATTTCTCCCCTTTCTCCCTCACTGTCCAGCCACCCTCCGGAAGGAAGGTTGGGCAATCAACTTCCGTAGTGATGCTGCCTCGGCAACCCAAGGAGGGGTCGCTCTGAGTCAGGTTCGACTTGATGGCAGTTTTTTTTTTTTTTTTTGGTCCACCATCACTTAGACTTTTTCTTATTCACCAGATCAGACATAAACAATGTCTCTTCCATGCAGTTCTTCCTGCCTCCCAGAACCCTTCCTATCTCACCCCTATTGAGTGAAATGCCTCCAGCCTTCACTTTTATCGCACCAAGTACTGGATCTAATTGCTCCACAGGCCACTAGCAGTCTGTGAGTTCCTCAAAAGAAGGACTGTATCACTTTATCCTCCAAAAAGAACAAAGGCTCTCCCTTACTGAGCACTAAATGTGCCAAGCACTACACTAAGCACTTAGATGATCTCTTTTAGTCTTCCAACAGCCCTACTTATTGCCATTGACTCAATTCTGACTCATGGCGACTCCACGTATGCAGAGTTGAACTATGTTTCAAGAGTCTTCTTGGCTGAGCCCTCTCAGAATCAAATTGCCAGGCCTTTCTTCCATGGCATCACTGGGTGGATTCTAACTGCCAACCTTTAGGTTGAGCGCAAACCACTTGTGCTACCCAGGGACCTTCCCAAGAGCCTTAATGGGAAGTTTTAGTATTCTCACCCACATGTTACAGAGGGAGAAGGTAAAGTGTAAAGAGATCAAGCAATTCCAACCCAGGCTGTAGGGCAGCAGAGATTAGGCTTTACCCTCCCCTTCCTCTCCAGTGGCCCAGTGCCTAAGATGAAACTGTATGGGCACAGGAATTTTTCTCAATATATATTTATGAAGCAAGATAGGCAGTCCTAGTAACAGTCAGTGGCTTATGGTATTTCTTAATTTTATAAACAAGAACAAATTGCTTACATCCAGTATATCATAAAACATTCTATAAATTCAACTTTATAACTTTACTAATTAGTCAAGCTTGGGAGCTCTGGTAGCATAGTGGCTAAGGCACTTGACTGCTAACCAGAAGGCAGGAGGTTCAAACCCACCAGCCACTCCTCGGAAGGAAGTTGGGCAATCCTACTTCCGTAGTGATACTGCCTCAGAAACCCAAGGAGGGGTCGCTATGAGTCGGGGCCGACTCGATGGCAAACAACAACAACAACAACAACAACCATGCAAAGAAATAAGCAAGGCATGCTCCAAAAAATAAGAAGGTAGCAGCAACTTTAACACATCTGAGTAGAGATTCAGAGACACTTCTAAATGCAAAAACAACAAATGTTCAGTTTTTGGCCGATAAAAGAAAAACACCCAAACCCAGTTTAGAGTGAAATGCCCCCTAGTAATGATGCTTTGTGGTGACCAGAACAGGCGAGCTTGAACTAAAACAAGGTGAGGATTTTTTTTTTTCCTCTCTCGTAGCTTGTAAAAAGGAGCTCTGGTGGCATAGTGGTTAAGCATTTGGCTGCTAACCAGAAGGTCTGTGGTTCAAACTCATCAGCTGTTCCGGAGAAGGAAGATGAGGCAATCTATTTCCATAAAGATTTACAGCTTTGGAAACCCAGTGGGGGTCACTAGGAGTTAGATCAACTCAATGGCAGTGGGTTGTTTGTTTTTTTTTTTTTTTTGGTTTATGGCTTATTAAAAAATTATGAGAAGGCTTCTTTTAAAACAAAATAAAAATGAAAATCCACATTTCTCATAACTTTTATCAGGAGAGAAAGTTGTTGCCAAATGCTCATACAGTGATAACACAGTACTCAAGGAAGGAGGAGAAAGGGTCAACAGTTTAAAAAGGAGACCAGTAAGCAGTAACGCTGAATTGTCCTTTCGGTAGAGAGGATTGCTTTTCTATTCACCCTCCCGTTCAAGACAACATAACGTTAGTTTGTACTGGTTGCAAAAGGGGCAGTGAGACACATACACACATACATACTTGTGAGATTTGCCAGTTATACAATTAGAATGACTGAAGCTGGTGAGAAAGAAAGAAGCATAGCCCCTGACATTCAGTAGCTGGCCTGCTTCTCACAGCTATACCATGTTACACTCTCATTAGACTTAAACACTCTCAA